GCACCCCTGACTCTGTTGGGCCATTTAGTTGCCTTCCCTGCAAGTCTGCCTTTGGACTGCCCTCTCCATTCTCCTTTTGGGTTGTTGTCTGTTAAACCTGTAACCCAAGTTGCCAGTAATATTCAGTTGACTAACCCTTGACCCTGTTATGTCAGCTCTGCCTGGTTCCTGCCATTTATGGGCCCTCTACCTAGACTTCCCATGTATCTGCAAATTAGGGCCCCAACATGCTACTGGGCACAGTGCTCCTGGCTTGAGTTGCTGAGGCCAAAGCCCTCTGAACACTGAGTCATACCTCCCTTTCAAATCCAGTCTTTGACAACAGGAGTCTGTATAAATGTTAGAACTGTGGGGCTGAATTGGTCCATTTCCATAGGTTTTGGGTGCAGCATAGGGGGTCAGCATAGGGATGATTCTACAGATAATGTGGCAGAGGTTGTGAGAGCTGGGTTTACAATAACATGGTTGGGTCAGGTTTTGTGTGATGATAGTTGTTGGATACTAACTATTTACATGGCATGGGATACTGTACTCCACAGAGCCCATAAGAGGCTAAAAATGGGAAAATCCCATTTCTATAATAATAAATATGAACTTTGATTTTTGTGCCACAACTGCAAGTGTCCACTGAATATGTTGGTGTGCTTGTTTAAGCACTGGTGTAGCCTCACACTCCCAGTCCATCAGTACATGCCATAATGAGGCTACATATACAGTCAAGGGTGGGGAATACAATCCTTACAACCAATCACAGGTGCATCATACATGTGAGGAGCCCAGGGAAAAACATGCATACATCTCCATCAGTTTTGATCACAGCAAAATTTATGTAAATAGTATTGGTGAATATAGACATGTCAGTGCTACCTGTCTTCAGTAACTTTCATCATTAATTATGGCAATATTTGCTTCACACTTGATTGAACAATGGAAACCCCCCCCTCTGCTCTGACCATCTGCACATCACTGTGGCAGCATTGAGTGTTAAATCCTTGTAACAGAGCAAAATAACAAGCACATAGAAGCTGTTACATAAATGGCCTTTGGGAGTTCATGAGCATCCATGGGTGTCCATGAGCACCCATGGGTACCCATGAGAGTCCATGAATGCCCATGGGATTCCATGAACATCCATGGGAGGCTGTAAAAGTCATGTAATTTGTCAGAAAATCCATGGAACTCCATGAAAATCCATGAAATTTCAACAAATCCCATGGAATCCCATGGAATCCCATGAATTTTCATGAAAATTCATGAAATTCCATGGAGCCCATTGTCAGGGGACAACTCCCAGGTCCCCATGACCCTCCCCTATGGTCCACAGCCTACTGGTGTAACCAGCCCTATCCAGGGCACAACCTACTGTGGGTAAGAAGATGAGAAGGAAGCTAACTTCTCATCTTCCCACAGTGGCCACCATACAGGAAAACTTCTGGGGATACCCAGAAGTCACATGAAGGATAGGGACCGGGCCCGGAGCATGCGGCGCACGGAGCGTGTGCATGTGTGGGAAGCGGGTCCGGGCTAGTCAGGGTGTGTGCCCTGACACCCATGGAGCATCTATCACTTTTCACGAGTTACTGGAGACTGGATGCAGGACGAAGGAGACATCCCCGTGGTGGAGGGCTATGGCCTCAGCGACTTAGACCAGGAGTGCTGTGCCCAGTTTACATGTCTGTGCCCTAATTTACAAACTGGCAATGAGAACTAGCAGGGGGATTACTCTAGTCGATTTTATCACTAGGGTGTAATGTCATGGCTGTGCATTCCAGCCCGTTAGCCACCTGTCCCGATGCCGCCCAAGCCCATTCCCACCTATGTGAGCGTGAGTGTGAGCCCCGACCTCAGCCCTATCCTCCCTGAGGACTCCCTGCTCACTCCCCTGCTTGCCCCTAGGCTCCCCTGCACCTGGCCGACTCCCCCACAGCCACACCAACCTTCCCACCCTGAGTCCGCCTCCAGCACCGTGCCCAGTGCGACTCCTCTACCCCACCCACTTGGCCCCTACAGGGCTGCTACCATTCCCACACCTGACTCCAGCCCAACTCCGAGTCCAGCACCACTATGATACCATCACCGCTATCGCGGCCCTACACTCCTTCCTTTATTTATCTGTTATTGTTTGTTTTGACCCTCAGTCATTGCTGGCCACTATGTGGCCAACCCCACTCCTTATTCATGTTTGCTTCTGGACCCTTCGGCCTTCAGCCCGGGTCCGCTTCCATTCATTCTTTCTCCCTATATATATCCTGTATGATACTTTATTGTACCTTAGCTCTAATATCGATTTGACCACGACCTCCTAAGTCCTGACCCCAGCAAGGCAACCCCAGTAAGTCTGAAATGAGGGCCAAGAGACAGCTAGGGGGCACAGCGCTCCTTTAGAGTTGCTGAGGCCAAATGCCCTACCCTCGGGCCTTGTTTGTGGCATCACAGCCATCATGGCCTATAGTGGCCCGCAACGGCGACCTTCGGTGCCGACCCCGGACCAGTGTCTAACATGTAACCTATCTACAAGTTAGGTATATATAGTTACATAGGGGGGTGGGCCTGTGAATAGTGGGACCAAGTGGAGTGGAGCTAATGGAGTTACAAGTTAGCTGACTGTCAGGGCACACCCCACCTGACCCCGCACCGCGCTGCCCTACTCCGCTCCCCTGCTATTCACTCCCTGTTTCTTCTTTCCCCTTTTCTTCTTTCCTTCTTTCCTTCTTTCTATTTCCATTCCACAGTCAACTTCCCCTTCTCTATGTATTACTACACACCTAACCCCGCTCCCCCGTTCGCCACGCCCGCCGCGCGCATTCCTGCTCACAGAGCGGCACACCTCCGGGATCTCCCACGGAGATACCCAGGGGAGTGCGGCTGTGTGCGGGGATGACGTGGCTCCTCCCACGTGACCCCAACCGCATGTATATAATAGCACCTGGGGTGGGAACAGAAGAAGCAGCCTTCTTCTCAACTTCCCACTTCAGACTAAGTGGTCGGGGATGCTCACCCTGCAACGGGACCGCCGCTACACATAGCCGACACCTGTCCCATCAAGTCCCTCGTGCCGGGACCTCGCTGCTTTCAGAGCTGTCCCTGACACTGACTGAATATTACTGATGAGTCAGGTTATGGGTTTAGCAGAGTGACAGGCTATAACCCAGAAACGGAAAGGAGGGATTGGCCCGAAGGTAGGCTTGCAGGGCAAGCAACTAAATTGCCCAGCAGAGGCGGGAGTGCGCTAGCGGACGTCTGAGCTGTCTGAAGGCCTTTGGGGCTCTGTACTTAGGGAGGCATAGGCAATATATTGAATTGGGGAGGTGGTGACCATCGGGGGAGTTGGAGGTGGTTGCAGAAACCGGAGGCTCCAAGGTTAGTGACAAAGGAGCAGAGGGAATCTGGAAGGACAGTGGATGGATATGACACAAGCTGCATGTATATAAACATACCTGGGGTGGGAACCAAAGAAGTAACCTTGTTCTCACTATTCCCACTTCAGTCTAAGTGGCCAGGGACCATTGTCCCACATTGGGCCTGTCAGTATGCATGCCCACTCCACACCCCATGAAGGCCTTAGTGCCAGGCGTTACATCCAGGCCCTTGACCCTGGATGTATCCCTGACAACCACCCCTAGCTGCTTCTCTAATTGCACTTGCTGTTGAGTTGCTTTCTCACATTTGGCCTTGGCCTCCTTGGCATCCATTCAATTTCTGTGGCTTTGTAGCCACAGTGCATGCATAACTCCCAATTTTACTATGATAGAACCCAGTATGATAGTATATTAGTGTTCTTGAGGCAATACCAGTCCAATATATTGTGTTTTGGCCTCTTGGTGCAGTTGCGGAAAAACAATGTGCCCAAATACTCTGGGTGGGCACAGATCATTGACTTACTTTTTCCTGTGCAGGCTCAAAGTATATTACTCTATATATTTATGAAGTCTAGAGGGCCTCTTTATGGCTAGTCACACTCCAGCACTAATTTGGTTCATTGATTGGTGGAGAACTAGGGCTCCTAGCAGATCAGATCGGTCCGAATCCGGATCAGAATCCGCGGATTTTTAGAGGTTTGAAACAAAAACCGTATCCGGCGGTTAGAAATCTGCGGATATGCGGATCAACCACAGATTATAAAGTTCTAAAATTGTATTTTGTTAGAATGGCCCTGATGAGAGCTTTCTAACAATACCAAATATGTTCATATTGGTGGAGAACTGATAGCGATATGGGGAAAATGGCACAAAAGATGGGTGTCAGATGCCAAATTTGGAAATAACAGGCCTGGGTGGTTAGAAAGGACTTGGAAAAATTGGGAAAAAATATGGAAACATAGGAGGGGTATTCAGAAAAGTGGGATATATTCGATCCACGGATAATCCACCTATCTGCGGATTAGAAACCGCGGATATGATCCTCTCAAAAGCCAAATCCGGACCCGCAAATTTTCGGATAAATCTGCCTAAAGTAACAGCCCCTGGATGGTTAAATAGGACTTGGAAAAATTGGAAAAATATAGGAGGGGTATCTAGGACAGTGGGCTAAATTGGATCCGCGCATAATCCACCCATCCGCGCATCAGAAACCGCGGATATTATCAAAAGCTAAATCAGCATCCATGGATTTTTGGATAAATCTGCGGATATCCAAGTGTCATCCGCTACGAGCCCTAAACAATAGATTGAATGACTCCGTTACAATACAATAATTTCAATGCAGGAGGGCTGCATATGATAAGAAACGATATTGGAAAAATAAAGGGAAAACAATTCTGAGGAAACAATAAACCAATTGATGGAATCCAACAGAACTCCATCAAGCCTCACCTGCGGCATATCCACTAATCGACACGTTTCCAACGGCACCGATATTGTCCTAAGTGGTGCAATGGTTGCTGTGATATGGGTAATCCATCCCCCATGTGTGGCCGTTCCTGGAGCAGGTGTGGGAATCTTGTCCGTAGGGTATTTGAAAACAATTGGGAAAGGGTAGGAAGCGTATAGACAATGTGGGAAGTGCATGTTGCGGGCTGGGGATGGGAAAATCAGGATGTTTGGCCTGTCAAGGCTGTGACGGCAATTCCTGCCGACAACGTCGGTTGAACTTTCAAGGCAATTAGGGTGTGTTACATTGACCATTCCTATCGTTGGTGCATGATTCACACTAGTTTTTCATCGTGACCCTTTTATAACAATTCAGTACACCCGCAGTTCATTAACCCATCCAGACAGTTGCCCGGAGGCCCAGCGATTGGATGACCCCTTGCGGAGACTCCCACCACAATATGCAGTATAAGTGACTAATTTTCATCACTCGTTTCTAGTCAAGCATGCAACTCCCAACCCTTTCTCTTCTGAGCGCTACCCTCGTGCTTCTTGTCACCGCGAGCCCTGTGCGATTTGCTAAGCGCTCGCCGTCAGCCCCTCATTTTGTAAGTGGAGATGCGTCCTTGAAGCAATAACTTGGCTTAGGTTCCCTAGGTCGTTTATTGGGATGAATGGGTTTCCGGCGAGAATGGTCCGCCTGACCCATCCGTCGTTCAGGGCTTCAATGTCTTCATCCTTTCCTTCCTTCTCGCAAGTGGAACCGCCGCCGATCAGGCCCAAGAGTGGGCCTCACTCGATCAATCTGCTCGTAGCTCCATCAAGAGTGCTTATTCCGATGCCGGAATTCAAATGATGGTTTCTGCTTTTGGTTCCACCGACAGTCCCACCAGCGCGGGCTATGATGCAGTCTTAACTGCCAATAGCATGGCCTCTTGGGTCAAGAGCTACAATCTGGACGGTATCGATGTTGATTATGAAGGTTTGTGCTTTTGTCTCTGAGATTAACCCTGTCATGTTCATCATTGTCTAGATTTCGGTGCAATCGGGTAAATCTCGACCATTTCGATCTTGGTAAAGCCCCTCATCCTTGTGACAGAAAATCCGATGGCAGTGCCGAAAACTGGCTCATCACATTCACCCAGACTCTCCGGAATGCGTTGCCCTCTCCCGATTATATTATCACTCATGCTCCTGTTGCCCCTTGGTTCAGCCCCATCTACCTTGCTGGTGCTTACACAGGAGTTCATCGCAAAGTCGGTTCTCTTATTGACTGGTCAGTCGCTCTCACCTTGATCCGAGATATTGGGTTCGACCATCTATGAAACAAAGGTATAATGTCCAATTCTACAATCAGGGTACTGAGTATACTACCTGCGACGGGCTTCTCACTGCTTCTAGCTCTCATTGGCCTAACTCGTCAGTCTTCCAGATTTCAAGCACTGCTGGCGTGCCTCTCGACAAAATTGTTGTAGGCAAGCCGGGCACCGCCGCGGACGCCAACAATGGATTCATGGATGCTTCCACTCTCTCTGATTGCGTTTCCGCTGCTAAACGCGATGGCTGGACTGGAGGTATCGTGGTCTGGCAATATCCTGATGCCAATTCCTCTTGGATCACGCAAGTTCGTGCCTCCAGCTGGCCTGTTGGTGACGACCATCCATCGGCCTCAACCTCGAGCACCGCAACCCAATCGTCAAGCACCACTGCTCCAGCCTCGGGCACCACTACCCCCGCCTCGAGCACCACTACCCCAGCCTCGGGCACCACTACTCCGACCTCGGGCACCACTACTCCAGCTTCGAGCCCCACTACTCCGGCCTCGAGCCCCACTACTCTGGCGTCGAGCTCCACTACTCCGGCTTCGGGCTCCATAACACTAGCCTCGAGCACCACTGCCCCAGCCTCGAGCACCAGTATTCCAGCCTCGAGCACCACTACTCCGGCCCCAAGCGCCACGACGTGAGTGAATTTCTTGTCAGAAATCGATCAAAAGTAGCTTCCCCCTGAGGCCACTGTGATTTAGCTCCCCTCTACCCTCCACCACGCCTAGACACGGACGCTGTGAAGGCGTGAGTACCTGGAGCGGAGCAATTGCCTACAATGAAGGCCATAAAGTAACATACCAGGGCCACTTATGGCAGGCCAAGTGCCGGACGGAAGCTGATGTTCCTGGTGGTGAGCCCATCAAATGAACCGATGGTGTACGCTCATTTCTGACATTCCAGTAGGCTCTGCTGGTGTCTGGGAAGATCTCGGAGACTGCCAGCCAGGTCATCGCTCTGCCTGAACATCTATCTATTCCTGCTTCGAGCCTAGATCACACACTCCATTTATTGGTGGCTGTATATAGTCTTCTCACAGTGCAGAACAAAAAGGGTAGCATCCATTTCCTTGACCTTGGAGGGATATAAATATGCAGGGACATGTGTTGAAGAAAATCATCATTTGTATGTTGTGGTATTTCATTTTTAACTCCGTGTGCATGCTGTAGGCATATGTTTCATCAGGAAACCCCCGAGGCCGATTGAAGTGGTTGAGATCATTTCAACCTCACATGATTTACAATCACTTCAACTGGGTCCCCTGATTGTAATCACACCAATTACGGGGGTGATTGAGCTGATTCAGTGATTGTACGGTTGGTTGTATCGGCACGCTATCACATTCTCTCCCACATTGAAGTTTATCAATAAAGTTATTATATTTGAACATTATGTTGCGTACATACTTGGGAAAAGAACCCAGATACAAGAGCAGACTCCTTCCCAGTCGCTCACATGATTTCTCTGAGGTTTAGCCGCAACTTATGTTGCCTCTGAAATCTGTCAAGTGACTGGTACAACTTGCAACACGTGATGTTCCCACACTAAGTTGTAATGAGTTGTACATAGGTTGTGGAATATAATTTTTAGTATTTATGCAGGCAGTCATTGCACCCAACCCAACCTGTGGAGACTAAGGGAGCACATCCAGGGTTGTGAAGTCAATATCCGGGTGTGTGTGAAGTTTAACAGTTTATATATTACTTGGTTACCAGTCACTTGTTTGTGCCTGGTGGCATAAGTGGTACAGCGTTAGCTCAGGCTATGCAGTTTTTTTAAGTGGCACATGTTCAATTCTCACTTAGGAAAACTTTTTTCAGGCCCTCCCATGGAATAATTGTGTGAAATGGTTACTTTCTGTACACTAAGGAGTGGAGGGTATGAAAAAAAAAGTTTTCCTAAGTGAGAATCGAACATGTGCCACTTAAAAAAACTGCATAGCCTCAGCTAATGCTGTACCACTTATGCCACCAGGCACAAACAAGTGACTGGTAACCAAGTAATATATAAACTGTTAAACTTTGCACACACCCGGATATTGACTTCACAACCCTGGATGTGCTCCCTTAGTCTCCACGGGTTGGGTTGGGTGCAATGACCGCATGCGTAAATACTAAAAATTATATTCCGCAACCTATGTACAACTCATTACAACTTAGCGTGGGAACATCACGTGTTGCAAGTTGTACCAGTCGCTCAACAGATTTTGGAGGCAACGTAAGTTGCGGCTAAACCTCAGAGAAATCATGTGAGCGACTGGGAAGGAGTCTGATACAAGAGTAGTACCCAAACACAATGTAATGCAAAATGAAACACAAAATAAAGAGAAGAGGAAAGTGGGTGAAAATACAATGTAATGAAAGAAAGCGGACGTGCGCCTCAACCGCTGAACCGTTTGGCACCAAACCCGGCATAAAGGTAGAGCTAGTTATCTTCTATCGAACAAGCCTAAGACCGTTGGAAACGGATGAGTGGTTGTCGAGTACATGTGGTAAGAAGTTGGGGATAGTGTCGCGTGTGAGAAGTTTGGTTGGAGGTTGGAAATGACATGGAAAAAAACATATAAAAAACATGGGAAGGGAGGGGGATGTATCGGAGGGTATTGGGGAAGGGTCAGGCAATCGCAGAATGGTGGTGGCTCATGTAAACAAGCACAAGAGGGTGGTTAGGTGGTCAGTTTAGCAACAAACACAGTGAACTGCCATACTTACAACTCGACATACAACACAGGGTAGGTTTGGACCCTCATTCTTTCTTTTTCAAGTAAAGAACATCTGGGGTGGAGTAAAAAACATCGTGTTGTGAATGCAACTGGAAAAAAAAAAGAAAAAAGAGACATGCATTATCATGTTTGTTCATGCAGTTCCCACAGCTCAGTTTGTTTGGGTATTGTGAGTTGTTAAATTTGGTGTTGCATGTGAAGAGAGAGTGGAGTGGAGTAGTGGAGTGCATGAGTTGGAGCAAAGAAAAAACTTCTAAGTTGCAAACCCATTCATTTGAAACTGTACAGCACCTGGATGCAAACGATGGACTCACACACATGGACGTATCCATGTGTGGTTGTGGTGATTGGGATGATTGAGAGTAGTGAATTGGGCAGATTGGGCAGATTGAGTGATTGAATTGCTCTCAACCACTTCAATCAGCCTCAGGGGTTTCCTGATGTTGTATGTGTCTGGCCAATTTCCACCCTGTCACAGCTGAGCATTCTGACCCGACCTCCAGTCACTCTGATGTCATCCCAAGCACTCCAAGCCTGTCCCTGAATGACCCAGCATGAATCCTGGGCTGTTAGATACTGAACCAGGACCAGCACCGAGGGTTGCTGTCAGGGGCGCTGTCAGGGTACACCCACCTGACCTGGTGCCCTGGTACCGACTTTCCCTCTTCTTTCCCTTCCCCTCTCTTCCCTTCCACTTCCTCACTTCCCCCCTATCCTATTTCCTCTTTATTTTCTCTTTATTTTACATGGATGGCTTTCCTTTGTATCTTTGTACCATTGACCCACCCACAGCAGGCATACAACACACCTGGCCCAGACATCTCAGGCAACTTCCTGCTGTGCCCAGCATGCACACTCACACCAGATGCCCTTGGGATCTCCTATGGAGATACCTGGGTGGTCATGGCTGTGTGCGAGGGTGACATGGCACCTGTCATGTGACCCAAGCTGCATGTATATAAACATACCTGGAGTGGGAACTGAAGAAGTAGCCTTCTTCTCATCTTTCCACTTCAGTCTAAGTGGCTGGGGACTGTTGTCCCATATCAGGCCTGTCAGTATGCATGCCTGATCCGCACCCCACCAGTGTCAGGATCCGGACCCCAGCTGGGAGTGGCCAGAGGGCGAGGCCGGGTGTGGAAGCTGGGGTGCTCTCCCCAGCTGTTAACTCCTCGAAGTCGCTGAGGGGACTAGCCTCAGCCTTCACAGGGAATGAGCTGAGAAGAAGGGTAAGCTTCTCAGCCCCCTGTGAGGCTGACACAAAAGGACCCTAGGAACTATACAGTTCCCGCTTGCTGCCGACTTTCCATAACGGGTGTGACCCGTGGCTGTACATTTCTGGGTGAGTCGCTCACCCAGAACGTTCCCACAGGTTCATGCGCACACATCATTGTGTGAAACAGTGGGGGGAAGGATAGGGGGAATGGGGAAATGTGGAGAGAGGGTGGTTAGGGAAAGGGTGAGGGTGTCTGAGGGTGAGTGGGGTCAAGGGCTGTGCCCTGACAACCAGGCTGTCATGACTGACAGATCCCAGGGCTCCGTCAGTGGCAAACCAATGCCGATAGGCAAATCTGCCAACCCAAAACCCATCCTAACCAGCCCCCAACCTGATGTCTGGCCCCCTGTCCTATCGAGTGAGACTTGGTCAACAATCTGACCCTGGACCTTGCCGGCATTCTGACCTTACCTCCAGTCCCTGAGCCCTTGGTGCTCCTGGCATCCAGTCCCTCTAGTTCCTCTTGTCTCATCTCCATCTGAACCACACCCATCACTCCGCTATGTGGTCACAGCTATACACTATAGAAAATATAGGGTTATGGCAGTTCCAGGGCCAGAGTCGGACAAGATGGTAGTAGACCGCTAAATAAAATTGTTAGCACAAACATATGTAAATACATGTTTCAAGGCTGTCCTCCAACATACACTGCATCCAGACCTCTGCCCACATCATCAGCAAACTTGGTAGGGAGCTCTGTGAGCAAATTGAGTCTTTTTGCTGTGCACCCTCTACACATTGGGTGGAGAAAATTGAATGTTTGAATGATTTTGTTCTCCTAAGGATGCAGAAGTGCAAAGATAATATGTATATACATTTTTGGAAATGCATATTAAATGGCCAGCATCATTACTTGAAAAGCTCTATGAGCTCACTGAGCTCATAGAGCTCATAGAGCTTTTTGTTTTTAAATAATGGATGGTCTTCATATCTCCATGAAATCTGCTTAGTTATTTTGGCACCAGTAGTGCAAAGATAATATGGATATATGTGTGTGTAAAATGGCCATTGTCATTGCTCTGAAAGCTCATATACCTTTTGTGTTTACTAAAATCAGCACCTTATTTGTTTATTGCTATTTACAAAATATGAGGAAAACTCTGAAATTCAAAATTTTGCACTTTATCTTTCATCTCATTTCTTGCTCAAAACTCAACCAATTTTGATGATTCTATGTGAATTGGAAAGCACCAAAGTGTGGCAATGTAACCATGCATGTTATGTAGGGTATAAATCAGTTTTAAAAAAGTGTTCCAAATGAAGTAAATTAAAAATACCACCCAATAAAGCAAACACAAAGCTGATGTATTCTTCAGATATCATCCAAGCCTTTGACACCAAATTTCCCATGGTCAAAAAGCCATGGTTATTTGGCTCACCAAAACATGGTGGGAGACTTTTCTAACACTGAAACATACATTGCTACATTGTCCCACTTTGGCACTTTCCAATACACATTGAATTATCAAAAAAGTGATTTAGTTTCTTTTCCAATTATTCCTAATTTCCTGAAATATCTCTCCCTAACTTATCCCAAATTTTCTGATTTTCCCCCTAATTTCCCCTGATTTTTTGGACATTCTCCATTTTTAGAAAGTCCCCCATTTTCTGAATTTTCCTTAATTTTCCCTGACTTTTTAGAAACCCCCCAGTTCCCCCTCATTTTCCTCCCATTTTCCCCTTCATCCCCCCCCCTTAATTTCCCCCCCAATTCCCTCCGCAATTTCCCCCCCATCCCCCCTTCGATTTTCCCCTCATTCCCCCCCCATTCCCCCCCATTCCCCCTCCCAATTTCCCCCTTCAAATTTCCCCTCATTCCCCCCCATTTCCCCCTCAATTTTTCCCTCATTCCCCCCCCCCAATTCCCACCTCAATTCCCCCCCCACATCTCCCCCATTCCCCCCTCCAAATTTCCCCTCATTTCCCCCCCATTCCCCCTTCAATCTTCCCCTCATTTCCCCCCCCATTCCCCCTCCAAATTTCCCTTCATTCCCCCCTCATTCCCCCTTCAAATTTCCCTTCATTCCCCCCCTCATTCCCCCCCTCATTCCCCCCTTCAAATTTCCCTTCATTCCCCCCCTCATTCCCCTCCTCATTCCCTCCTCGTTCCCCTCCTCATTCCCCTCCTCATTCCCCTCCTCATTCCCTCCTCATTCCCCCCTCATTCCCCCCTCATTCCCCCCCCCCAATTCCCTCCTC